GTTTTCGTCGAGGTGGCTGCTGCTAGCACCGTAGACGCCAAGAGCCCTCTCCTCGTACGTGTTGGAAGCGCGGATGCTGATCGCAATCGGGAAGACTGCGATGTACATCATGCACAGCAGGCTGAACTGCACTGCAGGGTTTACGAGAGAAAGATTCAACGTCGCCGTGCCAGTGTGTCTAGCCGATGCCGCTTGGAAAAGAGCCGACAGGATGCGAGGGCCCATCGCAAGATCATTCACTGCCGGATTGTCCAGATCCAGCACGATGATCAACAGGACGTCGATGAAATTCAACACGAAGACGATGCCGAACAAGATCCATGTCGGTCTGCTGGGAAAGAGCAGGGTGTAGCATCTTCGAGGATGGTCGAGAAGGAACTGAAGGTGTTCCTTTGTGGCTGACTTCTTGTTCACCACCTTGGACATCGCCCAAATGACAAGGCGAAGGAGGACGGGGTAGCATGTGTTTCCGGCGAATGCAAGGAACGTCATGACGAGCATCGGCCAGGTAGCATCCTTGAATGTGGCCATCGAGTCGGGGGTCAGTGTAAACCCGAGATTGTCAACCATAGTTTGGGCAGAGTAGAAAGCCCACCAAGCCCGGCCTTGGCCATTCTCTGCCAACCATGCCGTGTACTTGTACGGGGCGTGCATAATCCACGGCAGGAGGCATATGACTCCGAGGAGATGGAGCCCGAGAAAGTAACCTGCCGCCAAATCAGCCAAATCTGTAGTCAGTAGAAGGGAGGCTATGCAGGCGTGTACTAGAAACAATCTTGAGAAGCAGCTTCAAGCTTCTGTACTCGATACCGCCGAGAAGCTCACGATCCCGCTCCGTCAGGTGAAAGAACTGGGAGTTGCGTCCGATCGTGACTTGACGGGATAGTTGAGGAAGATCAGCTGTACGACGGCGGGTCGACAGATTCAAGCGATGCGACTCGCGCTCTGAAGGCTTGCCATGTCCGAGGACGAGAATGGACGAGGCAACCTTCTCCATTGAACGGGCGGCACGCATAGCCGGACCTTCGAGGTTATGTGGTCTTCGCCGAGATAGGCCAGTGGCGGAAGATTCGACTGGACGTATAGCGTCTATCTCGGGCATTAGCAACCATGCCAGTTCCTTCGGCCGATCACTGGTGCAGGGTGTCGACTGACCGTCATCATTGTCCGCATCCTCACCAATCTCAATCATGGAGTGCCCTGCCAAAGCCACGTTTAGCTGAGAAGTGACTGGGACAGTAGCAGCCATCTTACCATCATCACGGTCCCTTGGGCCAGGAACATGCAACACTGTCTCGCCTGTTTGATGAGATCGAGGATGCGGTACTTTGTCGCCGAAAGTGATTATGGTTGATCTAGCTGTGGGATTAGGATACGTGGTTCTTGGTGTGTCTTGTTCCGCATTCGCCTCAACATTGTGAGTGTGTTCCATCTGAGGATTTCTCATGTCTCGTATGACCTTGTTGTCACGACTCTCGGGTGGGCAGTTAGCCTCCAAGTCGTCAGGGTTTCCTCGTTCAGTAGCGGCTATGAAGCAGTGTGAGCTCGAAGAGAAACAAGTCGACGTACGTAACTAGCGTTAACTAACCCATAGTTTTCAGGCGTTGTTGGAACCAATAGAGGCGGGCGACAACGACCATGATGTTGATAAACATGAGATTTGTGATGATTGGGATCACGTAGATGTAAACCTGTTGGTAGGTTTTCATATCCTTGACATCCACCCTATTTATTACCCAGGATCGTATGTAAGCATCTAACTTTGCCCAAATCACAAACAGTGAGCATCAGGGGGCGCAACGTACGTATTGAGGCCAGACTCAGTTGAGCTGCTGCAGCCGAAGAAAAAGACATCAATAGCAGCTAGATTACCGTATGGATACAGAACGACAAAAGAAAGTAAGCTGCAAAACATGATCCATGTGTCTGAATTGGAAGCGCGGCTGTCAGCTCGGTCTTATCATGCAGACAGCAACTTCGCAGAGCGCTTACAGTGCAAGGATATGAAGTTGAGCTTGGGCTTCCACATCATGGTAAAGTGTTGGCGTCGGTTGAGAAGAACAGAAGACTAGGTACAAGTGCTTTTAGACGTGAAAAGCGATGCAGGATGCAAGCCTTCAAGACAGCAAGCAACTAAGGGTTTTTTTTTTGGATTAGACAACAAACGCTTCTGCATGCGCGAAATGGTGGGGGGAAGATGGCGGGCTTAAAAACCGCATCGAAGGACAGAGGCGAAGTCATGGCACCTCGGGTCGTAGAGGGCTCGCCCTGCGGGATTTAAGATCTCTTAGACAGGGCTAACGTTGCAAACAGACTATCTTTGCATAGCCTAGCGGGTGTGCCAAGGTCCATCTTCTCCAGTTAGAGTTCAGGGGCTGTGAGCTGTAGTGTATGAAGGTATTGGTCATAACGCTTTACCAACAGAAAAGGCCAAGACGAACTGACGTGTCCAAGGCTTGGCGAATGGCATTGTGTCATGAAATGCAGTGTGATTATGCTTAGAGATATGCAAGCAAACTGGGGGAGGCCGAGTTATGAAAATTTTCTTTGTGGGCTGAAAACTATATGACTTAGACATGTGTGTAGTAAGTAAGAAGTATGTGGCTCATTAGCATCAGAGGTGTGTGGTGGCTCAGGTCTTGATGGGATCTTACCTATGATGGCTCACCGACACTTTGCCAATTTCACACCCGTCACCGAGACACGAAGCATCATGCCGGCGATTCGTCAATTATCATGTAAAATGTAGCCGATGTTTCGAAGTGACTATGATTTTATAAAAGACCGTAGTCTGGGTACAGGGGCACGGTAAATCAGCCGAGCATGCGTACACCAGATCACCAAAAACAAACATGTATGCAAGCAAGGATACAAGTCCGGGTTTCCTAGCACGTCCCGAATATCTTCGCAGACATGTTGCTAGTTTACATACGCGGCAGGGTCTGTAATATTGGATCATATGATACAGATCGTAGTACAGATAAGACGAACCAAGCAATTACAACGACCAGGCCCTCCCTCCACCGCTACCCGACGGCTCCCCCACCGGTAAGTCCACACGATACTTGCCCTCGCGCGCCCCCGCATCCGCCGGCGTCATTCCCGTCGCGCCCGTCGCGAACTTGATGTCCACGTCCCCCGGCGCCACCAGCTGCGGCTGCGCGTCGCCCCTCCTCCGCCTCTCGAGCTCCTCCCCCGACGGTACGTAGTCCTCCGGTGGCGGCCGCATGCTCGGCCGCAAGAACCGATCGCGGTCGCCCGCCGGCAAGTTGGGCGGCACCCCGGGGACTGGTTTCCTCTTGATCGACGACGGTGACGACGAGGAGCCGGCGGGGGAGAAGTCGTCCGGGCGTTTCGGCAGCGGCGGCGAGATCTCGGGCTGCTGCAGCTCCTGCTGCTGCTGGACAGCGTTGCGCAGCGGGCTGAGGCCGGCGGGGCCGTCCAGCGACTGGGGGAAAAACAGAGTGCGGGCTGACTGCTGCTTCCGCTGCGGCTTCCGCGTCGGCAGCTCGTGGAACGGCTTGGCGACAACGTAGACCGTCTGTCCCGTCTCGGGGATGTACATGACGCGCGGCCTGCGCCGGCGGATCTCGCGGCGGCGCTCGACGCAGGCGCGGATGAAAAGGACCAAGTGGATAGTCCTAGTTAGAGGCCGTCAGCGATGCGGGTGGAGAGGTAAAGGAGCCAGTGGTACTCACGCGGCGAGGAGCATGAAGACGCATTGGACAAGGGCGTACGCAAGGGGCTCGCCGCTCACCTGGGGGGGCTGGCTGTCCTCCTGCAACCCCAGCTGGACGGCCAGCCATCCACCGCCGATATAGGCCACGAGGGACAGGATCAGCTCGACACCGATGTGGGCTTTGGGCGTGATGCCACGACCGTGACGGGCACACACTGAGAGGAACTCGGCCAAGTCCCACATGAACGCGGGCAATGCCTGTGGTGGGCGATGGCGTGTAAGTAAGCGTATAGGATTCCACTCAACTTAAACGTAGATCGTTCATCATGCGGAGGGCTCGGAAAAGTAGAGAGGAAGAGGACCAACTCACCCCTGGAACACACAACCACACCCAGACTCCGTACCTGTCCAGCTCCGGACGGGCGTACCAGGCCATGGCCATGATGAGGACGACGGCGCACAGCAGCGTCGAGACGACGCGTACCAAGATCTTGCAAACCTCGCACCGCCGACCGCCCCGGTTGAGCCACCGCACGTCGGCTGGGTCGACCGAGGCCGTCGGCGAGGGGTGCTTGGCGCCGTCTGCCTCCGAGGCGAAGGGCTGGAGCTGGTACGACTCGGGCGCGCTCATTGTCGTCGCCGTGGGGCGGGCATGGGTGGTGATGAGGTAATATTTCGCCCTCTCGCCCTACCGTCTTCGTTCTCGTCGTCGTCGTCGTCGCTCTTTGGGTACACGAGAGACTGCAAGTTGTTACGGAATGGAGGACGATGATTGCAGTCGAATTAAGACTCGGCCCAGCCCTTGTTCAATCCAACCCCTTGTTGTTCGATGGGAGAAACATGCCGTCCCCAGACCAAAGCCATCCTACCGGGGCCATCATGCTTTGACCGTTAGCAGAGGGAGAGATAGAGAGAGAGAAATTAGGCAACCGTATTTCTCACAGAAGGGGCTCCACTCGGCACCGGCATCCGACCGAATTTGTCGAACGCTACCAGAAAAAGACCTCTGGAACTAGTGCTCTTGGAGGTGGTTGGGAACCCGTATCGCTGCAGTGTTTTTGATGATGGTTTGTTTTTAGTTGCTTCATTGAGGGTGGATGGGATGTCGATCGGTATTGTGGCTCCTTCCAAAAGGCGCATGTCGTCCGTCTCGCTTGCCGTTTGTTTACTCAGACTCGCCTGCCACTTAGTCAGTCACCACCTCACATCGTCTCACTCAATCACTCACACAGCCAGTCATTCATCATTCATTCTTCACTGCCATATCTCAAGAAGCTTCAACCGGACGATGCAAAAAGGAATTCGCCGAAAGGGCAAAAAGTGGACACTGTGGGAATTGAACCCACGACCTTTCACAAGGTACTTCCCGATTGAACGGGAGTGCGAAGCGAAAATCATACCCCTAGACCAAGCGCCCCTTTTTATTGATAATTCTTGTGGTAAGTCAGTCTATGAATGCCACTCTCTGTAACCATCCCATTCATGGAATGGATTCCTTACAGGTTTACACGTCAGTCCACGTTGCGGAGCCGTGATAATGTTAGAACACCATCTTGCTCTATGATATGCACATCCATATATTTTGAGCTTATGCTACGCTGCATGAAAGGTGTCATGAGCCCGTCCTAGGAGACAACAGTGCAGCATCTTCACCTGACTGAGGACCGTTCACGTCTTGATATACATCACTCACGCTGGCAGTACAAGTTGGCACTCTCATGTCTGGAATTAGACTCTTTCTTATTCCATATCACCCGTCGGGTATTCTAAATGCTATTCATACAAGGTCGTTACACATTGATCCTTTCCACACTCCCACGTCTTTACGCCTGAACGTCGCTGTCCAGCTTCTCGTACAAGATCGGGCCGCTGATATCGTTCTCCCTGGGTCCGGCATAGCGCCCGGGCCTAGCCTGACTCTTAAGCAACTCCCTCTCCGCCACGCGCGCAGGGTCGTTCTCGCTGCCAGGCTCGGCCTTCAACGCCTCCTGCAAGCCGTCCTTGACGCCCTCGGTCTCAAAACCCTCGGTGATGTTCTTGCCGTGCGGGCCCTTGGGGTCGCGGATGTACTGGTTCAGGACGTACGTCGGCGCCGGGGCGCCTTGACCGGGGATCGATGAGCCGGACCCGGGAGCAGCGCCGGTGCCGGTTCTGGAAGAAGAGTTGTTGTTGTTGTTGTTGTTGTTGTTGCTGCTGCTGCTGTTCTCGGAGAATGCGTTGGGGTCGACGCCCCTGTTCTCGGCGAACGGCCCGCCGTGTCTGGCGGACTCGGCTGCGAGGGAGTCGGGCGCGACGGGGCCGGGGGATTCGGCGCGAACGGGAGCTGCGGCGCCAAGCTCAACCTAAGCTTGTTAGCAACCCCGACCTTTTTTGAGCGATGCATGCGGGCCTAAAGTTCTTTCAGAAAACGTACCTTGGTGCCAGCGCTGGGGGGCTTCCTGTCCTGAACGGGAATAGTCGACATATTGATTGGTTGTGTTGGTGATGGAAATTGGTTGCTGATATGTGGTGGGGGTATCAAGAAATCGGGTTGGTGATTTCAAGTCGTTGGGTATCCAAGTATTGTGATTGAATCGTATTGTTCTGTTCCAATCCCTCTTCCATCGACGTTCGAAGCCGTCTCTTTAAACACCAGCTCGTCGCATGACATCATGCTGTCCTCGTCTTACATCAACCTCTGTCGGAGAGAATATTCCCCCAGCACAGACTGCGGTATGACTTCAGCTCTCCACATTATCGCCCTCACGGTTATCGCCCGCCACGCGATGAGATACGAATTACATCACCCACCCCGCCTCACACCTCCCGCCCCGACACCATCGAGATGCGCATCACGTCCAAAATGCTACAGACCACCGTATCTTAGTGTTTCGCTGGGCCGGTGCATCTAGAACATTCAGCTGTAGTGCGATCTCCGCGGCACGCAACCCGATCGGGTCTGATCAGGGGCTCGCCGAGCATGTGGGAGCAGGGAGCGGGCTGGCTCATGGTGGCAGTTGGAGCCAGTATGACGAGAATGCCTTCAACTCAAGTGCAGATTTCTTGATATCGGACCATCGTCGAGTTGCCCCCTTCTCGCCTCGGGAACGTCACCCTGCCCCATTGCAATAGGGCCAGAAAACGTCCAAGGACGGTTAGGGTATTTGCCATCTCCTAGTCTTGTCTTATCCACCCTGAGGAGGATGGGCATGGCCTGGTCACTGAACTAAGTTGAGCTTGGTCCTGCGGCGGTCCTCGGGGTGAACACTGCGATAGGCTTCGACGTCACTGTCTTCGATATCAGGAAGATGACGAGCCTGAGCTATGCAAATCCGTCGATAACGGGTTCGCGAGAGTTGCGAGCGTCTAGTTCAACGGAATTGGCCGTCCTAATACATACCTAAGCTATACGATTATGAGTGTGAGGCACGGTGTCCTTTGTCAACTATCAAGGCTGGGAATCCGCAATGTAAAAGCTTCGCGACACTAGGTTCCCACTTCCAAGATTGCATTTCCACGACAAATCGCAAAGATTACTAGATACGCTACTGAGAGTTGGCCGTAGCTCGCAAAATTTCGTAAATGAGATGTCGCCCTGTTTAGTCCCTTGAAAACATCGACAATGCTACCGCTGCGCCGTAAACGCCGTAAGAAGCCATCCATTATATCAACAGAACACTCTCAGAAAGCGAATCGATACCAAGGTCATCCACCACTTCACCATACATGATCCCGCCAACATAGGCGCCGCCAATGAATTTGTAACACGGTCCAGCCTTCCGCAAGATCACGGGCAGGTTAGCGCCGTGGAGCACCGCGACCGCATCCCCCGGTTGTATGGTGTAGTTGCTCCGACCAAACATGCCGCCCCGCGTTGCGAACACGCTCGAGATCTTGCCCGCGTTGGCGTTGTATTCTCTGACGAACATGGTTCGGTACTCGTCTAGGGCTCTGGGCGCCGAGTCTCTGAGCTGCTCGTAGTACCTCACGCTAGACTTTATATCTCCTTTTCTGGAAGAGCCCAGGAACGCGTTCCAGCTGAAGGGGGTACCTACTCCGCTGGCGGAGAGGTAGCCGTGTTGCATGGCCAGGTCGTGCATGAAACCGAGCAAATGCTTGTGTTGCCGGTCTCTCTTGTGGGCGCGGACGTCCTCACCGTCATCCTCCTTGACGCCATCGGCGTCAAAAAGGATGGTCTCGCAAAAAGCCTGAAGCTGGGTCCTCCCGAACGAATCGCCTTTGGGTCGTGGGCGCTGCGGGTCGAAAGCGCGGAGCACCTGGCTCCGGCCGTCCTCCCCTCCGAGCAGAGGCGCCACGGATTCGATGGTGTCGAGAATGAAGCCCCGGGTCTTTAGGACTCTTACGGACAGGTCATGCTCGGGAGATTCATCCACAAAGCATAGTCCCTTGGATGCGTCAAACACCCTCGCCGCCGCGTAGCCCGCGTAGATGTCGCTCTCGGGCCGGGAGCTACGGTAGTCCGGAGTCCAAGATGGCAGTTCTGCGTCGCCGTCCCCGCTCTCCGGATTCCGCCACCCGGCCGTCAGGACAAGCGACAGTTTCCCGGTCAGCCGCGAGTGGTTCTTCGTAAACTCGACATACACGTCCCGGAAGGGAGAGCGGTAGTCGATCGTCACGTAGGACGCCATGCCGCAGGTCCCCATGAGGGCATATAGCTTGTCTCTCGGGTCCGACGCCTGGAGTACCCTGGTGGCCTGTAGGACGTACTCCAGGTTCCCTAGCTCGACCGGGGCGATCGTGAACTGCGCAATGTTGAAGAAGGCCCTGCGAAGGTCAAAGATCCATCGCGGGCTCGTCCGCCTGTCCGGCCACAGGTGCGCCTTGGACGACACGACATCCATGTAAACGAGTGTGTTAAACGGCGCCTCGAACGTTCCACAGTGGACGTAGGCAAGCTTCGCGAGGAGTATTTCCTGGAACATCCACATTCTGTTCCAGTACGGTCGCCGCAGAAGTTCCGCTAAACCGATGGCGCCGCGCTCGTCGCCGACGACTCGCGCAACGACGGCACTCCTATCAGGGAACCCTTTGCAGTCGTTCACAAGCTGCATGGCCTGTTCAGTATCGTCGCTACCCGTACCGAGCCATATCCTCACGCAACTGGCGGTCCTATAAATTTTGCCCATGAGAGCCACCTGCAGATTCTTCTCGGTACCGTTGCCCTGGTTAATGCAGATGCTGTCAGCCCAGAGAGTCACTTCTTGGTCTGGGCGTCGAAGATGCCGCAATGCTGTCGCGAGGCTTCGAGTGACCTTCAAATACTCTCCGTTGACTCTGATCATCACCTTGTCGTTACTATCGCCCCATCTGTATGACAGAGCATCGTAGCAAACAGATGCATCACCGAGCCTGACAACGGAGAGAGAAACCTCGATCGGGGACAACACAGAGTGACCGGGCTGCAGTTTGAGAATGCGAATCTCTTGGGGCTCAACAGGGAGCTGTTTATACACTATGACTTTGTAAGCTAGGCTTCTTCAATCAGGCACCTTTGGGCTGAGTGTCACCTGGATGCTCAGGGTCGACGATGTCTTCAGGCCCCTGAGCGCGGATTTCTGTAACCTGCCGCTCCAAGATGGTAAACATGGCCGAGAGAATTAACCCTCTAAGGCTATGTCCTACGGATGTAGCTGTAGCTGGGTCCTTTTACTTCAGGGTGACTCTTCGTCCTCTTCGAGATCACTGCTCCGACGGAAGAGACTGTGTTGGAAGTCGCTCGGTTCCTGATGCCTCTCACAGTTTCCTAGCAGTACAGTTCTTTCATCAACAGTATGGCTCTCGGTGTCAGAGTGAGGACAGCGTTGAATATGAATCTTAGAGGTGCAGCTACAATCGACGTAAACCTCTGTTAATTGGAGACACATCTTCTCAGTCAAACAATTGGATATCACAAGGCTTAACAGGACCTCCAAGGGCCCAAGAATACACCTTCTGTAGTCAAGACGTATGTATGGCTCTTGTACCCCTCACCGCGCGCGGGGCTTTGGACTTGGTTGCTTTTCATGTTCATGGTGTGTTCCTGATTGGCGCTTGGAATTTTACGCCGCTTCCTTGCCGCAGCTCTGGCAGTGGTCCTCTACTCCACCAACGCGCTTATCCATCCAGTGCTACCTTAGTATGTTGGTGGGAGGGTGACGCTGACGGAGCAGGCCGGCAACTGTCGATCATGCCTGCAGTGACACATCCTGTTTGTCTCATTCCCGTATATTCCAGGCTGCTGGGTCTGCATGTGTTGGTTGCCAGTTTCGATGCTAAAGGTCGGCTTGGCAAACTTTGCGCATAGAAACTAATGTCGAGAGATACAGCATCGGGGGCTTCTGCTATGCACTTAGATTCATAAGTTGCTAAACAAATGCGCTGCGAGCCCTCTATTGCATATGCGATAGGTAGCGCCCTCTGTCGTCTGTCGTAAAGCGA